ATGAAAAAAAAAGATTTTTCATGGAAATATTGATCTCTCTTTCTTAAAATATCACCAGAAATCACGCCGCGAATTTTTTCCGTTTTAATTTAGATACACCCTGTATATGGATGGTGACCACATACTGATTCAAAACACGTTGCACACGCAAATACAAGGCTGCAATTAATAATACAAAGGCAATACAATGCATAAAATTATTACAATTATTACAATTAATATGTTATATGTTATAATTTATTTAAGTTTTTTGTTTTTCCGCATATACAAGGTGTTCTCGATCATTGCTAAAAAATCATGGATAAAAGTTTCTATAAACACTTGTCGAAAAATCCTTTCTATAAATTTCACCCTGAAGACGTTTTTTTCCTCAAAATTGGTGAAAGTATCCATTCAAAAATCATTGAAAAAGTTACATCTCATGTACTTTCGATGCTGATTTAGAATTTCAACTCAGAATTCCAATATCTCACTCAGGGACGTACCGTACTAGGGTAAGACAATTCAATTTTTCATGGTACTATTTTTTTTTTCTCATTTCAGAATATGATGCCTGAAGGCGTTTCACGTGAAAACGGTAATCAATAGGACACGTTTCGAATGAATGGATTCGGAAATATTGAGGGAGGGAAGCATTTTTCGACCAATATTTACAAAATTCTTTTCTCATACAAATACCCCACAGATTTTTCAGCAATGGTCAGGAAACACCCTCTATACCGGGTGACCCGGAACCAATTTACCCCCCTGTATCTTCGTTGTTATTTTGTATGGATGTTTCAAATTCGGTACTTCGATTTGATGTTATGAATGTACAATTTAGCAAGTATCAATCCAAATATGTCACTTCCGGTTTGACCGGAAGCGCATCCAATTTTTATATTTCGAATAGGAAGTATTATTTTTTTTCAATTCACAATCTGCTGGTATAATTGACATTTTATAAAAAAAATTATTTTTGTGTTCCCCTCGTAACGAAACATTTTCATGAAAGTATGCTGTGGAAGATTGAACAATATCATGTAAGCAACAATAATTCAATCTTCCACAGCATACTTTCATGAAAATGTTCCGTTACGAGGGGAACACAAAAAGTATTTTTTTTATAAAATGTCAATTATACCAGCAGATCGTGAATTGAAAGTATGATTGTGATATGTCATTGTAAAGGTAATTCTATACCGAATTGTAATTTTCAAAAAAAAATGATACTTCCTATTCGAAATATAAAAATTGGATGTGCTTCCGGTCAAACCGGAAGTGACATATTTGGATTGATACTTGCTAAATTGTACATTCATAACATCAAATCGAAGTACCAAATTTGAAACATCCATACAAAATAACGAAGATACAGGGGGGTAAATTGGTTCCGGGTCACCTGGTATATTAAACAGTATTTTCGTAAAGTACTGAATACTTTCATTTTAAGTCAAACCAACCAATCCATTTCTGAGGAATATTCTGAAACAGGTCGACTTTTGATCTCAATTTGTCACAATTAGAAGGAATAATGGAATATACACGGTGATCCACGTTTGTGTAATGACGTCCGAGATATTTTTTCAAATAGAGCACCCTATATAATATTGAAATTTTGGAATCTCCATAAGAAGCTGAATTCAAAAATATTTCACACATGGGCTTTGTATATAGTGCGTCTGTTGGATTCAGTGCTCTCGTACAGTAGTGGAGAAATTCGTTAAAAATTAAAGGAATAATTTTTGGACAGGCCCCCCGAACCCGTGGATGTCAATTTCCATTTCGGTATTCTTCCAAATTCATTTGATACATACAGAATGGTTCGTTTCCTTTAATTTTTTACTAATATATCCGAGGATATATCTATCACTCTACGAGAGTACTGAATTCAACTGACGCACTGTATACAAACCCTTTGTCTGATCCATAGTTTTGGATCTACGAAAAATTCAATTCACTTTGATTCCTTCTGTTAACCACATAATTTACATCAGTATAGTATAAGTGCTAAAAGTGACATTTTATTTTGAGAGAAGGGAAGTTTGGGACACGACGTCGAAGGCCGAACAAAATAAAATCACTTTTAGCAGGTATATCATGCACTATTTTTTCTACAAACACCAATAAAAGTTCAAATTAACGCATACCTATTTCACATTAATCAATTGATAAAATTATTGTTCGTTTTGAATCCAATTTCATCTAATCTATTCATGAAACAAGTTGCCAGAAGGTACCTACACAAAAACCGAATTTGTTGATTTGTCTTTGTTGACAACTAACGTCAATGAATCACAAATTATTCTTTCTCGGTTCTTCGTTCCTCGATGGAAAGTGATCAAGAAAATGAATTTCTACCGCCGGAAATTGAAGATGCTGCCAGTAAAGCTGCTTTTGAGTTATTGCCTAGTTAGTCAAAGCGGCAGTACGAGTTTTCCTTCTATATTTTCTCTCAAACATAAATCACTTTTAACACCAGTGCTAAAAGTGATTCACTTTTAACACCAGTGTCATAAAATGACATTTTAGACACTGACAGCATGCGTCAATAATAATAATTCTACTGACGTTTGTAGAAAAAATATATTACTCATTCCAAAATTGTTGAAACATAATTCAGTATAATAATAGGTATCATACATAAAATGTACCTGTATGAGGAAACAAATTCTCCTAAAATGAAAAAATTACAATAAGCTGATGAATACCTCATTTCCTGTTATGAGTGATAGTTAGTGATTCGGATACGATGAAAGAATTTGAGTGAATCTGGAAATATTTTGCGAAATTAAAAGAATGAATCGGTATCCCATGCTCTCGAAAAATTTCGGGAACATCTACCTGCTCGAATAACCTACAGCCAGAGTATTTGAAATTTTTTTTCCTGTTTTACTTATTGTTCCTATTTTCAGATAATTTTATATCAATCGCAACAAACTGAGAACATGTAACTGAATAATTTTTAATATAATAATGTGTTAGCAGAGTTGTCAGTCTGGAAGGAATTCAATTGTCAATTCAATTGACCACAAATCTTAAAAAACTTTTCGCCTGCGGAGCATTTTCACTGTACAAACTTTTGTTTGAGTTTTTTTACCCATTTCCTGGTAAACACTGAAATAGAGTTGTTGTCACCCTCGAAAAAATTTCCTGCTGCTCATTTTTCACGTCGTACACATTTTTGTCTTATTGAGTTTCTTGACCCCCTTGATATATACTAAATGATGTCCCTGACGGAGATTCAAAAAATTTTATGAAATATAGGGTTTCCAATATTCATCTTATTCCCTTATAAATGAATGAATAATATAACAAAATGAGATCAATAATCGTTCTGTTTCAGGAGATTCCTATAGGAAATGGATAGTTTTTACCAAAGCACTGTATAAAAATGGTGTTTTATTTGAAAAAAAATTTGGATATCAACATCTTAATTACGATATTTGAAATTTCAAATCAACCTGAGAAACAAATGGAAAATAAAACTTCATTCAAAATCAACTGTTTCAACTCATCCATGGTATTCTAAATTGAAATTGAATAAATGAGAATTTCAGGATAATAAATATCAAAAATTTTGCAAATGGGATGTCGTTGTACTCACAATGATATTCTATATCGAAATAAGTGAAAATATACCAGGTGTTCCATTCAAAATAAGAAAATGAGGGCCATTTCCGGTCAAACCGGAAGTGACAGACCACAATTGAATGAGTCAAACACTGTATATTAATGTACTTTACTTACACACGAATTTGTTCATCTGTAGAAACAAATAGTTATAGGGGTGAGCCACTTTTGAGAAACACCCGGTATATAAGTGATATTGGAATATTCAACAAATTGTCATCTGTTAATGCATATCGGAAACATCCGATATTTCCTATTTTATCGGGGGCCAGAATTTTTTTAATACATTGACCTTCTAGGCAAAGGATAGGAAGAGCTAATGATCAATTATTCAACAATTTTTATCTCATCTTGTGTGAAAATCACACGACTATATTCTCTTCAAATTATTATTATTTGCATGAAATGCAGTTCATGGTCAATATTCCCTCAAATTATTTTCTGTGTGTCAGGTAATTATCATTTCAAAAGACAGGTTATTTACTTATTGTAATTAATTTGTAGCAATCAAACTTAAAAATATCCTTGTCCTCAAAAATCAATTGAGGGTCAAAAAGTATAATTTGTTTGCTATTTCAAACAACCCTGTATAAGCTTGCAAGGACCGTTTCATGTATGATGACTGACAATTTGATAATATACATACGAAAAGTCATTTTAAATGAAAGGCGAAGATGAACAGAGAGACCAAGAGGAGGTCATATGAAAGATTCAATCAATCGATTAATAATTGTTCATTCGATATTCTTCTGATATTTCTATATTCCTCTTCTTCGAACATTTCCCAAAACCAGGTATCAATGACAATCGGTTGAATTTCTCTTTTAGGCTCTCAAATAGAAAAAAACGGAGAAATCTGGTGAGACAATTATGCCAGTTAAATGCCAAAATCCTATTCTCAATTTCCTAAATACGGATGATAGCCCATGCTCTCAAACAATTGCAGGAAATAGTAAAGAAAACCGCACTGAAGAAAATGATTATTCATCTAACCCACTTGAACACACATTCGAACTTGGTGGCAGTGATGGCATATCTCTGAATTGTGTCAATAGATCAGACGTCAACCCTATAGCCTAGTGAGACTCATCAAGATCGGAACAAGAATTCCCCTGAGTTTGACTATTGTCTTATATTTGTAGCATTTATAGCCAACCATAATTGGTAGAACTAGGAATTTTCGAGAATCATATCCGAAAAATGAGTATGAAACCGTCTGGAAGCGATGGAGGATAGATAATGTTCTGTTTTGTCTCGAAGCTCGTAGCCAATTAAATTATTTCTTCATTCTCTACTTCACGTTTCAAGAATAGCATTAGATTATCTAGTCTTTTCTTCAAAGGGTCATCGATGGAGAACTGAGTGCACCTTTGCCAAGTCCTCAGCATCTATTCTGGCCTGCTGGATTCCAATAAAGGATACAGCATTGCTGAACAGGTATCTGTTGTTACTCCAAGGGTATCGAGTGCTCTTAGTTGAGCATCCATTTCATCATATAGTGAAGCCAAATTAGTTTTGTTGGCAAGATTAGGTAATACCAGTTTGAGAAGCTCTCTAACATAGTATTCTATTAGCAGATCCTCCCTACCGAATCTGGATCTCAAACTTCCTATAGCTTTACTATAATTCTCTCCCGTAGGTGTGTAGCATTCAATAAGTTGTCTGGGTTTTGAGTTACGGGTGATTGCCTGCAGCAGATACTGAAATTTTTCATCAGCTTCTATGTCCTCATCTCCGTGAATACGTTTGAACAAACTCCAGAACTGCAACCAATCTTTGATATCACTGATAGATCTTCGGTAGCTGCAGTTTGATTTTATTCGATGAGACAATGCTGGATTTATCATGATTCGGATAATAGTTTGTTGACAGTAAAAGCGAGAGAACTGCATCGTATATTGTGACTTCGTTGACTTTGTTCGACTCTTCCTCGAATTCTTCGTTTAGTTTCTCTAACAACTTGAACATACCCTGAACTGCGGCTATATTCGGATTAGTTTCATCAAGACGACCTTCTAAATCACGGCAGTATGTATCAAAAGAACTTCTCAGAAGTTTCAGGGTCAAAATCTCTTCAGTAGTCTTGCAGATTCTTCAACAGCAATCTCGTCGGGGCCTCCAAATGTTCGGTTTTCTCAATCGCAGATTAGGAAAACAATCGTAATATTAAGAAGCTGCTTGAAAAGATCTGTTTATTTAGAGAAAGGAACTACAAGATGCAATAATAAATTTTACTCTGACAATCTCTCGAAATTTCGGAATCGTCACCCCCTTGTCAATGCTTCTCCCGAATCATACAGGGGATCGATAGATAGATAGGAAATCTCTTCAGAGAACAATGCCAGTAAGTACTAGGAGATTCCTTGAAATTGAGTCATTCCGTCGCGATCTTGATAACGCCTGTCATGTTCGCATTGCGTTGGTGTGAATGTTCATTGTGACTTGATCATCTCGAATACAATGTATAATGTGATTACATAATCTCGGAATTGGGTTCAAGAATTTGCTAAGCGTGAAACTGTAACAACATCAATGACTTACTCAACGTAATTCGAAGCGAGATAGATGATATATTGAGTTAATTGAATTCAAATTGTGTTGTGGATTATCAAAAAACTGAACAACGTATAGTGTAATAAGTAATGGATGAAATAGAGACAAAATAGACCACCATAGATCGATAGTGTATTCCAACAGGGCCCCTACACGATCTACACGATTGGTTCACAACACAGCAATTCTTCTATTCTTCATGAGACTTCCTTGCTAAAGGATAACTCAATGAATAACTAAGCAACAATGGAAGCACTGATGCAGGATTCATTCAGAATTGGTTTTCATAGTGAACATATTGAAATCCTTCAAGAAGGCACTGTTGATGTTCAACTGAATATTCAGGCCATCAACTCTTGCTCACACCTATAAGGTTCACTAATGTTCCTGATGACATATTGCTATGATGAGAATTCAACAATCTCAGGAAGCGTATGAAGAGGAAGTCGAATTTCATTTATGTGAAGGGTGCATGGAAGCTGGGAAGTATAGAATTCTACTTGGTACGTCAGAAGCTCAGCTTTTGTGAGAAATCTTCTGCTGGAAATTATATCAGGCATAATAATGTTTGTATCCATATCATCGTTTCCAATATTTATAACAACGAGTAATGATTTCATTGGAGTATCTAGAAAAGAGAATGCTTCCGAGGTCTCATCATGCTGAAATAACATGCTTCCTCTTATATTCGATGATTATTCCATTTTGTGTTTTTTTTAACTCGAAAGTGGACTCCCAGTGAACACATTTGTAATATTCACATACATATGTCGTCAGTTTCATATAACGGATGTTGCATATCTTAATTCTCTCAAATTGACGTTGCAGATAAAAAACTTACATGATCTTATTTCTATGTTTGAAACGAGACCAAAATTTGTTTCCGAAACGTCCAGAGATAAGTAAAAATTTGATATTTTTTCGATATAGTATATTTCTCTTCTTCAAGAAATGTTCAAAGCAGAGTGACACTGAGAATCGAATGAATTTTTGAACGCAGTTACATTTTGTGGCAAATCATCTGATTTGTCCTCGGACTTGTCATCACCACAAGTATACTCATATTTTTATTTTATAGAAGCGAGGAGAGAGAATCCCAAAAAATTTAGGAGAATGAGCAATACTTGAGAACTCCAAACAGTTTCTATTTATTTCTGATAGAGTCCACAGATATTGAAATTTTTTTGGACAGCATTTTTGGTGGTTGAATAATTCTTCAGTTGAAAGAGGATGATTGAAACTCACATTTCCATCAATTTATCATGTTTTCCATTGATAGCCTCATAATGTTCTCAAGTTATTAATAAATGCATAATTTTATTGTCCGTTAATAATAATTATTGCGTGAGTATGATATAATATGAAGTTTTATATCTCATTTGAATTATATTATTGAATTACTTTCTAGTCACGGTCTCACTAGAAGATGGTGAACAATTGTGGTCCAAATTTATATTCAATAATTCAAATTCGGTAGATTAAGATTTATATAGGTGAAGATCATTGGTAACTTCATAGACTCCTTAAAATATTTATGAAAACGTAAAACCATTGAGCAAGTTGAAAGAATATAGGCATCCTCTTATATTTGATGATAATATCTTTTTGTGATATAGTAGGTATGGAATGTTTCCTGAACTAAAATTTGAACAACCAAAAGTTGAATAATGTGAACTGAAACTCATACCATTATCAGATTGACGATGTCATATCCTACAATCATTCTTGGGAACTTGACCAGCTAATGCTTTTTCAACAGAATTTATTGAGTTGGAGAGCATATATGATTATTGAGTGATTTTGCAGAATAGGATGATTGGATCTCACTGAAGGAGAATATCTCTAGTCATACTATATTTTCAACAATTAATCACTACATCATTGAAACAAGTTTGAGTCTTGAATATCTCAATGAGAATAAGTCACGTTTTCAACTCCCATACTCTGTTCGTTTAGGAGAAGCAATGGAATGCGCCCACCATGGGCGTACCATTAATTGCTGATTTGGCTTGAGCTAAAATAAATCGGAAACCATTTTGTCATTTAGAGCGATGAAGTCGAAAACTATATTTCGGTTTGTCAGCAGTTTTGTGAAATACCCGAGATGTTCTGCCATTAGCGTTAATGAAGAAATAATTATCTCAAATGTATTTAATCGTGTGCGAAATGAAAACGTACTTATCGTATGAGTGATTTTCAACAAGAGTAAGTAGCACAGCGGTATAGAAAATATTGAAAGGAAATGAACTGACAGAAATGTTGATGCACGGAAAAAAAGGATTTGTTGCATCAACAAATTATTTATGCTTGAGTTATGTTTGTTGGTCTGAGCAATTTGTTGTTGAATCAACCAGATACATGATTATTTTATGGAAGCAGCTTGTTCAAATCAAGAATGTAGGCTAATTGAATCAACAGTATAATATCAATTCCATCAACAAAATATATGATTTCTTCAAAAACAAATTATGTCGATCCAAAATAATGTCGATCTTGATTCAACTATAAACATTCCGTTAATTTGATCAAACAATGATCATTTTGATGATATTATATCTTTGAAACAACATGCAAGTTTTCTTATTCCGATGTAGCAATAAACTCGTTTCGAACGGATCCTTTGCTTTAATAGAGCAACGAAATATGTAAAATCAATTAAATATTTTGTTCATTCTACATCAACTTAAATTTTCGCCTCTAGATGGCGATCATTACGCCTCGTCTATGCCTGCCTCGAATTCATTATATACGTGAAGCCTGATTCTTCGTGTTTGAAATATCAGCTGGAAAAATCGAACTTGGGATGATTAGCATTCCGAAATAGTTTTCCATCAGCTAAGGAGATGTAAAGACTTGAGATCTATGCTGGGAGTCGACTAGTTCCCTAGTTTTGTTTATTCTATTGATGTGAAATTTCAGAAAATTTCCGAATATTGGATTTGGTTCAACAAAACAATTTGTCGAATGGATATATAGTTTCTCTTGAATCAACAAAATATTTCATTGAATTAACCAAATATTTTATTGAATCAACCAAATATTTTTTTGAATCAACCAAATATTTCGTTGAATCAACTAAATATTTGATTGAATCAATATCTTGTTATTTTGAATCAAACAAAATGATTGTTTGAGCCAATTCAATATCTCTTCATAAACAATTCATGGATGTGCTTGCTTGATCGAAGAAGATCCAGAGATCATGCAAGACATATTTACTTGATTCGAGCTTCAAATTCGCTATGAAACAAGATATAGATTTACTCATTTCAAGATTATATTTTGTCGTGCATATATGAAACTTTTATTCGCTCCATTCAATTAAATTTTGCTTGATTCAACAATTCTTTTTTTTTTCCGTGTGGCTACTCCGAAAAAGCATATAGATGGGGGAAGAATCAAGCCTGATGAAGTTGATTCGAACGGTTTTTGTAATTTTGAAAAAAAAAAGTATTTGTGGATGATGATTTCAAATATAATAAATGACCGTTTCAAATATTATCATAACAGGAAATCATCTATATGAAATGAATAACCATTGGACGGAAATTCTTGTAAAACTATTCCTTCGGAAATTTGCGTCAACTTGTCATTACCATATTCCATTACTTCGCTTTCTAAATGAACAGACTATAACAATCATCATTTTATTTTATTTGTTCTCATATTTTCCAATGGTAGCGTCATTTATGTTCATGGCTTATTAGTGCATTATTTTATTGTCTGTTAACTATAATTATGGAGTGAGTATGATATAATATGGATTTCGATATATCATTGGAATCATATTATTGAACTACTTTCTAGTCACGTTCTGACCAGAAGATGAAAAACGATTGTGGTTCCAAATTGATGTACTGATAACTGAATTGGTCAGTATTTTTATAAATTCGGATGGTTTCAGAATGATGTAGGTGTGAATCATTGGTAACTTCATGAACTCTTTAAAGTGTCTATGAAAAAGTGAAACTCTCGAGCAAGATGCTATAACATGCATCCTCTATTTACTTACTTTTTGATGCAATATTTTAGTGATATATACCAGATATGGAATGTTTCCTCAACTTAGTAAACTTGAATGTGAACTATCAAACGGTCAATTATCTGAACTGGAACTTCTTTCATTTATCAGATTGACGATGACTAACTCATAAACTGATTGAAGAAACAAGAGATATTATATGCATACTAGAGAATTTCAACCAGGTACTATTTTCTCAACAGAAATTGTGATCGGGTTGAACAACAGAGCATCATATGAGGTGATTGAATCATTCTGCAGTTCATTGGCTGC